TTTATATATATATATATATATATATATATATATATATATATATATATATATATATATATATATATATATATATATATATATATATATATATATATATATATATATATATATATATATATATATATATATATATATATATATATATATATATATATATATATATATATATATATATATATATATATATATATATATATATATATATATATATATATATATATATATATATATATATATATATATATATATATATATATATATATATATATTCATCTTCTCGAGAATTGTCTTTCTTCTTTTACATATAAAAAACGCGCTTCCACACATTTCAATTTTTTATTTAAATCTTTTTTGAAACGTAAAAATATAATTTTTTCAGTTAGATATTTTTTAGTAAAATTATTTCATTGGTTGTTTTGTTATATACAAACAAACCAATAACTTAACAACAAACGATTTTTTTTTTATGTTAAAAACACTTGTGGAAGGTGCTTGCCTTGCCAGTAACAATGCTTAGCTAACAATCTTTACGATCAAATAAAGGTGAACAATGTTAAATATGTACCCAGCCAATTGTCACCTGAATAACTTGTCTTGTCTGCTACTATTCATGTGCTGTCACATATTAGAACCAAATGAATCTGATTTGAACAAAAGTTTGGCAAAATTATTTAAATTTTTGTGTTACAGCACGCAACAAAGGCAACGCAAACCTTTTAAACTGACGAAAAATGGCATTTTGTATACACAGTCCTTTTGATGAAAGTTGAAAAATAAATTGCGCATTTTCAATGTTTATATATACAACAAAAGAAAATTTTATCAATTAAACGACTACACATTGAAATTTGATTCTAAATCAAATATATGAGCTTATGCCTTCGACTGTTACTTCTAAAGTATACAGCACTAGTCAACATACTGATGCCGATGGTCATTTTTTTATTTGATATTTAATTTTTAAATTATTATATTAAATATTATAAACTTGAAACAGATGAAGAATCATTTGAATATCTCGTCGTGTTCATCATAATTTTTGCAACTTTTTCTGTCATATTTTTTGTTGTTCTTTTCGTTCACCTGATGAAGTAAGGCTTGATGCAGCTTTCGTGGTGCTTTAATTTCTATATTTGAATTATTTTTCCCATTGTTAAAGGAAGGAATATTGCAAAGGATGTTGCTGTCAACGCAGATGTTTTCAACGGAGGAACAACCAAAATCCTGACAGCAGCCAAAGATCCGTCCATGTCATCGATGTAACAGAGGAACACCACCACGCAACACTAACGCCAACTTTCGTGGACAACTTCAGCGAAAATGTCTTTTTTGATCTGCCTCCTACCTATGAAAGTGTTGTTCCTCCTCCAAGCTATCATGAACTTTTTGAAATGGATGTCAAAGTTGGAAACTAACAAATAAATTATATCCATGATTTAACATCGTGTAAACATATCGATGATAAACATCCTAATTTCACAACTTGGATAATATCTTAAAATGGCATACATATCGGGATGCAGACCGGAGTGATGTTATAAATCAACAAAATGTATTTACTGTGTTCATTTTAAAACTGATAAAATGGGCCGAACATTACATTATTACATTAATTATTCGGTTTATAATGTTATTCAGTTACAACTCTTGTGATTTGTATAGAAAAATTTATTATATGTATATTAAGCAAACGACTTTCTTTTTATCGGGACTACACAGTTTTGTTCGTAATAAAAAATTAACTTAAAAAAATAAACCTTAGTGGACAAAACAAGAAATAAATGCAATTGAAAAAATAAAAAGTTTTCATTCTTCATTCAAATATGCACATTTAAGTAGGTTAACTTTGGTCAGCATATATTAGTAAGCATTATTGGATGCTGTGATGGAGCTCAGGACTTTAGAAGGGCAAGGAAAATGTACCCATTTTAAAATGTCATAAATATCATCTCGATGTTCTTAATATTTTTACTTTAATATGCAATTATAAAAAAATTTATCAAAATATGCGATTATAGAAAATTTTAAGCTGAGATATTATTGATTATTTTAGGTCTCTCTTAGTTATCTAACAAGTTATTCATAAAAAGTAGTAATTTTGTTAGTATTTTGAGAAGTAAAGATAGGCATTGAGCATGGTGTCAAAAGTACTGTGTTCAAGTGGTT